TCCAAAGAAGTCCTGGTCGCAAACAATCGAGCAAGACATGAAGGCTCCAAATTTAAATGAAATAGATACAACTGATCGTCTAATTTGGCGCAAAAAGTTGATGGCAAAGAAAAAAATGTCCTACCTCGGGAAACTGGGTCTCTGGACGCTAAACGAAGATTGATTGATTGATTATCATTATTATTATTATTACATCCGCTCTGGCAAGATATACCGAAAGACACAACAAGATATTGGCCGTGATCATCAATTGGCTGAAAATATCCGCTCCAGCCAATTGCCGCATATTTGCAGATTTAAAGTTTGAGGGTATTCGCCCAATATCTCAATTATTCAACACTTTACGACCCGATATCGCCATACTTCATAATAACAAAATTGAGATTCTAGAATTCACTGTATGCCATGAAACCAATCTAAAATCCTCCAGGCAATACAAGAGAAATAAATACCCTAATAATTTGCATTGTTGTTTAAATAAAGACTATAAACATTGTTCAATAGTTATAAACTCATTCGAAATAACGCCTATTGGTTTTTACAATAATTTTAATTTTTCACTGTTTAAAGTTCCATGGCCGCTATCATTTAATGATATATTGATAAACACTGTTATAAGATTATCGTATGACATTTACTGTGATAGGAACAAGCTATGATGATAATTAAATATATTTCACCGTTCTGCACTTAACTGCACTTAACAATGAGTAAACTGGTCTTAACCTTTAATATTATTTTAGACAATTTTTAAAAATTTCATCATTGCGCATTATTTAATTAACATTAACTTATATATATATATATATATATTTTTTATCATTGTATGTTTTTTATGGTGAAAAATAAAAGATGTTCCCATTATTATTATTGATTAATTGCTGTTAAATGTGATTTGGTCTTTTAGCTATTTTTCTACTTGATTTCTATTTTATATTTATTTCTATAAATATTGTTATTATTATTATATCAAATCAGTCCTGTTAGCATTCCTCAGAGAAACATTTTTCATACAGCGATAATTATATAAATAATTTCATTTAAACATTAATTAATTTCTGTCTTATTTTCTTCTTTATTTTACAGATTCAAGACAAATTTGACAAATCTATTAGTTCGTGTTTAATTATTATCTTTATTTTTTATTATACACTCACACCTTAAAATTATTTATAATATAGTTTATGTTGCTTCATAATTGCCTTATTTTTCTCTATTGATTTAAACGATCATACCTATTTTCATTTATTTGTTTATTTTAAAATTTATCTATTTTTTTGCACACATAACGATTAATTATAATACTAATTCATTTTTTCTTTTCATTTAGTTGAGATCAATAAAAAATAATAACACTAAAAAAAGAAAGCTAGCAAGAAAAGTGGAGACAGGGACCAGATTCAAGCTGATATTCAGCAGGATTAAGCATGTTGATGACCAAAATTATAAGATTTAAAAAATAGTTAATTTAATGAAGTATGATTCTCCAGAATTAAAAGAAATAACTTGAAAGAACTGAGAAGACTAAAACAAAACAGAAACTTAAAAATGTACAAAAACATGCTGGGGTTATAAAAAGTAAGAAATAACTAGAAACATAAACGACATGCTTCAAAGGTAGAAAACAAAACAATGATACAGATAGGCAGGCTTTGACATCAATAAAAATTAAATGAATTTTGAAGAATTTAGACAGAAACATTACTGCATGAGTGAGTGAAACAGCAAGTTTGAATCTGTTCCAACAGTCGCATTTTATCCACTGCATAACATTTCGCCTCTATTTGCCTGCTATTTAAAAGTTAATGAATGAATACAGTACATTATTATAAATTTAGCAATTGATTTGGTAAAAATAGTATTATAGTTTATAGTATTTTCTTGAAATAAATTGAAAATGATGACAATGAAAGATTCATAAATGTAGCTAACATTGTAACATAAAGATAAATAATTTAAAAAACTCGTAAGTTATTATACATTCATCCAAATTTAAATTAAATTATATTAAATCTACGAATCTGGAAAAAAGCATGAACATTGTGAGTTCAATTAAACTTTACAAATAAAAGTTAACTGTTTAATCCATGTTGTCCAGAACACTTCATAAGTACATAAAGTTTTATTTTATAAACATTCACACATTAACCTTTTCTGTTGCACAAGGGAATTCGTTTTTCCATATCTCTATTTTATTAGTTAATGCTTCTTCAAAATATTTTCTTTCATTTAAGCATTTATTTTCAATTCAAGATTGCGGTGCATTTTTTTTCTTTTGGAATGACAGGAACATGTTATAGATATTAAGATATATATATATACATATATATAAGTTAGAAACATTGCTTTCCATCAGTCATATGAATGCCGACCATCCATGATTATCCACAATTATCTTTGAACTCTCTATTCAATTCTTTCACCATTAACTCTCATCCATCATTCACCCTCCATGACCATATGATCACAACATCAAAATTTTTAATCCAATTCAGTTATATAAACAAAATCTACCACAGAGGACTCAACTTGATGTTTATTTATTTATTTATTTATTTTTATTTGTACACATGAAATGATCAGATAAATTATTTAAATGATTATTTAATTCATTTATTTCTATCATTAAATTGACTCTTCTATATCAAAATGTCATTCAATTATCGATTAACATAATCATTCAATAGTATGTTGTACACAGCAGTACAAAACCAAGTAATGGTATCTATTTTTATAAAGATTTCAAATGCAATCTTATCAAATTTTGTTATGTTCAACATTCTTCTCACTCAACTTTCAAGAATTTCCACTCTTCCTCAGACCAAGTCAAAGTGGGTCTCACATCTTAGCACCTATTTGATGTCCACTAACCAATATTTTGCAATCTTTTTATTTAGACATATCACTTCCATCTGATTGCATTTTATTTAAAGTCGCTTATATTTGGTATTGAGTCTGGTGTAAAACATTCTAAATCACATCGCCATTAAAAACCTAATTAAGTTAACACAAACTTGAAACAAATTGTACCTCTTTGATCAATGTAACAATGAAATGAATGATTATTGATAAAGTAATTCAACAATTCCCACCTGTAACAGTAACGTTGTCAATTCATTTATTCAAACACAGTTTGATTTAACATTTAACCACTCCAATCTGCAAGCATCTCAACATAATGAGTAAAAAACTAAGACCCCAAAAAACTTTTCTAGCAAGCTAGTGTTGGTTAGCAACATTAATAACAGCAACTGCAATGCCATTTAATTTATGAATATGTAAATAATTTTATATAAGATTAAGTCAAAGGGGGTGTGTTAAGATTAATAAATAATTTGGATAAAGTCTAACGGCAATGATTGAATAAGAACAGATTATAAGAACATAAATTGATCAATATCAATGTTTCCCATATTAACAAATTACAGTTTTCCTGTGCTCATTTACTGCTTTAAATAAATTGAGTCCTGGACAACTTTTAAAGAAATGGAAAAAGAATCGATGCTGCTGAGATGTGGTTTTTGAGAAGAATTATGAAAATCAGTTGGACCTCTCATACTTCCAATGAGGATGTATTAAAACAGTCCGGTTATGAAAAGAGGAAATTACTACATAAAATCCGACGGGGGCAGTTAAAGTTTTTTGAAGGAAGGAATTGAAAATCTAACAACTACCGGAATAATTGCAGGGAGAAGAGATCACAGTCAACAATGAATTACATTTGTGAAGTTCTTGTGACACTTGTTGAATACCACCACATTTCAGCAACTACAGTGTCAAAGATCGGGTTTTTAGAGGTCAATGGTCGCCAATGTCCCTGAAAAGATAAAGCGTGAGAAAGAAGAAAAACATAGTATGAAAATGCACAAAAAATAATTTACTTATACGTAATAATAATAATAATTATAATAAAACGCCATGGCAAGCAACTAAGGTGCATTATTATTATTATTATCACAACAAATGCACAGTGTATGTAAATACCCATGAATTGATGCATCACACACTATAGTATGTAATAGGCGGGGATCTCTTTACATTCGAACAAGGCCATTGCAACAGCAATGCCAGGCACCTCGACCATTAGACCGATGCGCCACCCATAGTGGGAGTCAAACCAAGCAAAGCTTTTATTGCCAGGTGGACTTATTTATATTTAATTTTCAATATGTAATAAATGGAAGAATAAAGAGAAAATACATCATCATCTTTTTAATGCATATTATGCTAAAGATATTATACAATATCGGGGTTTATACAGTCATTATGATAAACAGAGGCTCATTAATATTAATCCTATTAAAAGCCTGATTACTTCACTGTTCCACCTCTTTTTATTCAACAATCTTTTTTTGAAAATGGCCCAGTCATATCAGCCCATTCATTTCATAACATTTCCTTAATGTCCAAAATAGAAAATTTGTATTTACAATCTGCCACCACAAATGTCATAAGACCTCTCTTCAGTAAGAACATGTACACATAAAACACAAACACACAACATATATGTTTGTATATTATAGTGTCATGCAGTTAATAAATTTCATACACAAATTAAATAACATTAACAATTTTTTCTATTTTGAAGTTATTGAGATGACTGAGATAACAGCTCCTTTTTTGTTCTGGTTTATAATGCAGCTCTGTGTTGAATAAACCATAAGTTTTTATAGTTCAAAATCTACACCAATAACCTAACTGTTGAGGCCAGACAAAATTGATTAATAGTACATAATTTATCAAGTTAATCAACTTTTAAAAGTTGAAAACCAAGCAAAATCACATAAAACTGTAAATCAGCTATACTTCAGATGCTGACATAAATTGCAAAAATATTCTGATAAATATTTTATATGATGATATATGAAATTTTCAGCATATATTTATTAATTTATAACAATAATTTTTGTAGTAATAATGCGACATCTACCATTCATAGGGCAATTTCTATTGATTAATAAATAAGATCACATTGTACCCAGAATCAACACGACACAAACTGAAATTTACAAATAATTTTATTTTGATAAAAACACATTGAACATTGAACAACTTATCATGATCACATCTTTAGCTGTCCAACAGACACAACAAAAATAAAATGTCTTTAACAACACCGATTTCATTTAAAACATTACACAACGAACAGAAGAAAGAAAACACATAAATTATTATCCTTGAATAAAAATATTGAAAACGGTTCACTAGATGACAAACACATCGAATGTTATTGTTAAATTTGTTTTATGAAATCATGTCCAACGAATGTATTTAATATCGGCGTGGTCTTTTAGCTTCAGAATGACTAACTGAACCTTGATTGGGCAACATAGGACCATGTTGTCCCATGCCACCAGGAGGTCTTAGTCCCAACATATTGCTGGATACAGGAGGTGGATTATCGAATCTCATGTTCTGAGGGGGTCTCTACAAATATTGCCATTCATTTATAAGCAAGAAGAAATATTTATGATATTTACAAATATAAAAATAAAGTTTTGTATATGACATGGGATATAAATTTTTGTATTGATGTATACATGAGCACAAATATAAATGAACCAAGTCTGATTTTCCATATAAGCATATTCAGTTGTGTATGTATCATATATGAAAGTGTGCAGTTAGATGTGAAACATCATACATTAATTTGCCCATAAACTTTTTGACAGTTACACATTCAAACGGGTTAATCATATGATAAAAAATTCATCACAAGCATTTTGTTTTAATACAGCTACAACTGTATCATCGATATTTATGACTATAGAAACTTGCTGCACTAGCCACGGTTTCAAAAAATACATATATAATTGTTAATCACAGGTTTAAAATATAAAGCAAGACTAAACAACAATTCAGAAAAACACACATCAATCGAGCCATATAAAGTACTTGCCAAAATTTTAGACACAACTAATTTGCAAATTCACTTTGAGCTTTAAGGATTCTAAAAGTTACAAAATTTCAATGTTAGCATTCAAATTGGTTTTCAAATAGATGCACTATTGTATGAGAAGATAATTACACTTTTTTATTGTGCACGCCCAACATCAAACCCACGCTTGGCACACTACTTTTTTTCATCAACATTTCATAAATTCACATCATAACAATCACTTGAGTTAACAAGCTTCTACAAAAATGAAGCATGCTTATACACTAAAACAAAAAATTTCATAATTTTCCATAATCATGGAAAAAATGCAGATAATTCAATGCAAATAGTTGCTTTTAATTCCATTATCAAGAGCTATTTTAACAAAGGTAAATTTTAAGTCAGTTATATCTTTCAGACTGCTTTCTATCAGAAATATTTTCCACATGCTTTTGTTCAAGAAAAACATAAATTTTTATAATTTTTCCATTGGTAGGGCACTACCATTTTTCCATTCAAAAACACAATTTTCTTGGTTTGAATAAAATGACATTACACCCTTTCTTCATTTTGTAATTGTTTTAAGGCCACTAGAAAACCTTATCATTATAATAAAGCTAATGCATATTATGCCAATAAAACTGCTTGAGATGAAAAAAGCTTGTTCAGCAAATATTAAATGGAAAGTATTCTCCAGATTCGATGTTGCATATTGTGCAACCCACAATTGAAACAAATTGCCACTCAATCTATGGACTAAACAATGCATCATCATTTATCACCAAATCTTTATTTTTTTAAAACAAAAATTTCCATATTTAGATTTGAAGTCTCTATTAAATTCAGAACAAGTACTCTCCAGAAAAATATGTCAGCATAAGTAAGTCCTGCAACTTTACACTTATAGAAAAAAAACTGCATTTTGGCACACTCACTAGCAAACAATTATATGAATCCTAGCATACTATTCAAATGTCAAATTACATCAATGTCCAATTGTCCCATTGCCAGTTGTGTGTGTCATAACTAAGTTTTTTAATTTTTTAATTTAAATCTATAAAACAAATAAACACATGCATGTGACAACCGTCAATTGCCTGCCATCACATGAGTGTGTATTCATCATTATCGCATGAAACTTGCACAAAACAATTGATCAATCAACTTTAAAAATTGAAAGCCAAGGCAGTGATGTTTAAATCAGAAAGCCAACATATCTCAAAAGAAACTATGCTGATTTATGTATTGGATGAAAGTGTAAAACATTATGATACCTATATTTATAATAACACAAAAAAAAACATTGTTCAATAAATTTAACAACTAGCTCAAAAGAATAATGTCATAAAAACCCTCAAAATAGGCGGCACAAAATCTTAGATATGCAGATGGAAGAAAGTATGGATTATTTGAAATATTTGTGAAATAATGATAATGAGTGTGGAACAGTTCACAAAATTTAGCTGAACTGAATGAACTCTAACTACTGAAATGCAATGTGGTGGTGAAACACAGCAGAAACAGATAATATTAATTAACAGCCTGATCAATTAAAGCAATTAGCTAATGAAAGAAGAAAATTTGGACTAACCATTTGTGGTCCAGTAGGATCCATAAGAAGTGGAACATTATTCTGTAGTGGAGGGCGTGCCAACATTCCCACTCTAACATTTCCACCATTGTTGAAATTACCCAAACTCTGGGCAACACCCAGTGCACTACCCAGCAACCCAACACCAGTTTGCTAGAAAAATCATAAGTAAAAAGTCATTGAAACAAATTTGTTTACGATGGACATTGTTAAAAACTACTAATAGCTAATAAATACAACAACAACAAACAACACAAGTTTAGACGGCATTTTCCCCGAGATCGGGGGTTGCCGTTTGGCTACCTATGATGAAACCGAAATACCCCTCGACGCCATCCACATCTGTCACTCGCCTCAGTATCACGCAACCCCGCTTTCACCCTGTCCTTCTTCACCTGCTCTCTCCATCCCAATCGCGGACGACCCCTTCCTACCACTCCTTCAACCTCGAACTCCAACGCTCGCCTAATCCCGACCCTTTCATCCCATCTCAACACATGTCCATACCACCGCAATCTCGATCTCCTTATCAATGTCACAATGTCCTCATTCAGTCCCATCATTGACATCAGCTCTGTACTACTCCTCCTATCCTTCACTTTAACCCCACACATCATCCTCACCATAGCTCTTTCAGCCCTCTGCAGTACACTTTGCTCCTCTCTCCTCCACACCCAAGTTTCACCACCATATACCATCGCTGCTCTCACACATGCTTTATATACCCTCCCTTTCATCTTCACTGACCATTTCTTTCCACACAATACCCCACCCAGTTCCCTAAATTTCATCCATCCCACACGAACTCTAGCCGTAACTGCGCTCAAACATCCTCCATCCGCATTCAGCTTATCCCCTAAGTAAACAAAGCTTTCCACTCTTTCAATACCACCACTCAACCCCGTCCTTGCGTCCGTCCTATTAATCACACTATGAACACATTTCTTACATTTGAACGTGCCTTCCACCTTTCAGTGCCCCCCTCACACCACTACATCTCTTATGCACCCATTTCTGACATCCTATACACAATACCGAGTTAGCCTTCACTCTCCTATCACATACCCCACAGGGGTCTATTTTACTTATCACTCGCTCCCCACCTTCCCCACTCACCATTACCTTCGTCTTACCAATATTAACTTTTAACCCTTTCTTTTCAATAACACTTTTCCATCTGTCAAATTTTAACTGCAATTCTTCCATGCTATCAGCCATCAAGACTAAATCATCTGCATACAAAATCTCAAATAACAACCCCTCCATTATGTTTCCACACACAACATCCATCACAATTGCAAACAGAAACGGTGATAACACTGATCCTTGATGCACTCCTACCTTAACACTAAAAGCGTCCGACATCCTCCTTCCAACCCTCACCTTTGTCTTTGCCCCTTCATACAGCTGCATCACAGCTTTAACAAGTCTCTCATTCACTCCTTTCTTCCTCAACGCCCATTCAATGACCTTCCTCGGTACTCGATCAAAAGCCTTTTCTAGATCAACGAAACACATGTACAATCTTCGTTTCTTCTTTCTATAATTCTCCTGCAACATTCTCACCATGAACAACGCATCCACCGTTCCCCTACCAGGCATAAACCCACACTGCATTTCATTAACTGTCACCATACTTCTCAACCTCTTATCAAGCTCCCTCTCCACTACCTTCATTCCGTGCTCTAGTAATTTCACACCCCTGTATGACCCACAATCTCTCACATCTCCTTTGCCCTTATACAACGGCACCAACACACTGTGTCGCCAATCCTCAGGTATACCTTCATCATCAAACATACTGTTAGCAATTCTCATCATAACTTCAATTCCTATCACCCCACTCGCTTTAATATGTTCTGCCGCCACTTCCGAAACCCCTGTCGCCTTACCTAGTTTCATTTCTCTAACTGCTTTCTCTACTTCCTCCATCGTCACCTTCTCTATAGGTCCGTGTGTGACCACGGATTCCACATCTCCATCCCACTCATTCTCTTCATTCATCAACCTTTCCATATGAGCTTTCCACACCTGAGCTTTTTCCTCCTCATCTATGCACAACTTGCCAGATCCATCCCAAACACATCCATTCCCTATAACATCTTTCCTATCCCTCATTGACTGCTTTGCTACTTTGAACATTTTCCTCGAACTCACATTAAATTCCATTTCCTTCATTAACCTATCTGATGCTTTCGTCATTGCAGTTGCCACTGCCTGTTTTGCAACCTTCTTAGCCTTCCTATACTCAGACTCTGCTTCCTCCGTCATGTCCCTTCCCCATACCCTAAACCTCTCCTTCTTGACTTCCAAAACCCTTCTTATATCTTCATCCCACCACCACGTCTCACCATGCCTACACTTTCCTTTCGTCCATCCACATACTTTATCTGCCGTAGCCAACACACAGCTAATAAATACAAAAACTATTTAATAAAAAAAACTTTCATGAACCCTCTAGCTCAATATAAGCCTAGGCCAAATCACTTTTACGAAATTCATGAAAGTTTTAAAAAGAAAAATAATTAGTTAAGCAGGACTAACAAGACGAGTCCTATCAACATTGGGAGGGACTGGAGGAGGTTGAAGAGGTGGGGCTCCAGCTGATGGACGCTCCAAACCACGATCCTACATTGCAAGCAATAAGATCAACTTTAATGTTTAGCATAGGTGTGACTAACATAATGAATACATACCAATATCTATTTTTAAAAATTGTAAAAAAATTAAATTTGAAAATTTTTTCAAGGCAACACATGAAGAGAAGTTTATTATAGCTACATAGGACCTGACCTAAGAAGATTTAAACAATCAGCCAGATTATCAGAATTTGTGCAAAATTTTAAAACATAAAGTATCACAAACACCTTTCTTTTGTTTTTCAATTTTTATATTTTAATTTCTTGGATAGAAAATAATTTAAACAAAATTTTGAAAACTTATTTACCAAATTGAATGGGTTATCAGAGGATTGATTCTTAACGGCATCCATCTGCCTTCTTAAAACATCATCCTGTCTCCTTCTCAAATCATTATCCATCAAAGGACCTCTACGTCTCTCATCTTCCTGACGTCTGTTTTGGTAAACATTCCTTTGGTTCAATTGTAAAGTTTAATATAAATATTAGGTTGAATATTCCATTTTGCTAATGTAATGCAACGAACAAAATGCAGTACCTCATTTCCAATTTCCTCTTGATCTCATTTTGAGTTTGTTCTTCCAGAAGTCGTAGCTCTTCCTGTCTTCTCTGCAAGTCTGAAAATAAATGAGACCCTCACCAGTGTATCGTATTGAAAGCAATTTTAGCTTTAACAAATAAAAATGTGCATCATTAACAGTGCAACGTCAAGCTTATAAAATATAATCATAGGGCTCTTTGAACATAAAATTTGAAAAATATTTTTAACAAATCTTTTATATAATAAGTAATAATTTGGTAGTAACAAAACTTAGAAACATTATATTACAGGTTTGTCTTATTGATGCATTTGGTAGAAAATTGTCAAACTTAAAAAAAGCAAAAAAAAAGATAAAAATGAAACATTTGTGAATCCAATATATAAAAACTATGAACAAAATATAATAATAAACTTGTATTATAAAAAAGCACTCAGCACTAATATATCTCACATGAAGCCAAAATTTTTAAAATGAAATGAAACCTAAAATTTATTAATAAATTTAAGAAAGCCTGATAAACACTATTTGACATGTTTCGACATTCATCTGATATTTAAAAGAGAATTACACTAGTTGCCAAATATAAAATAATAAACTTTAATCATGTTATCAAATAGTATGCTTATCTTAAAAAATTTTGTTTTCCCAACAACATTGTAAAAATAAAACCTATACGTATACAATCATACTTATTCCTAATTTTCAATTCAATGTTATGAAAATGTGCCAGATTTTATTGGCCAGAATATTTATAGAATAATATTTGTGCTTAGTAACTTATTTAACTTTTTATAACACAAAATAATGAAGCAATGAAACATTTACTGCTCGACAAAATACCTTGTCTGAGCATATTCGTATGTTGCTCCAGCATCGCAGTCTCCTGATCAACTTCCAACTTGGCAACTTCATCCGCAAAGTTTTTCTTTAGAAGTTCCTCTTGATCTCTGTATAGCTGATACAACTTCTTCCATTTCTGACCTATATCAGATTCAAAACTTCCAGGCTGTACAAACCTTGGTGGCTTTTCTCTATCTCTGAGAATTAAATTTTTACAAAATTATTTTATATAAATATAACCATAAAGAAAACACCAACGAACTTTAACAACTCAGATGTTTTAGTGAAGAATAATTCAGGCAATCCATCATTTTCATCCTTTTGTTCCAAGAATTCAACCTCGATAGGTCTTGGTTGTCTGTTTTTATAATTTTAATCAAGAATTTTAAATTTTAAAACTTGAATAATCATTGAGCAAAAGAAAAACTAACGCAGTCATGAGAAATATTCCTTCAGAAATTTTCTTAACAGCAGATGCAGCAGCAGCCTTTCTGGAAAATTCTACTATGCCTTCTCCTGTGGGCTTGCCTTTATCATCAACAATAACAACTGCTCTTTCCACTTCCCCAAACATGGAAAATGTTTGTTCCAACAATTCATTAGAGATATTTGGTGAGAGGTACTTAACTTTAAGTGCAGCTGGATGTCCAGCAAGACGAACCCTCAAATGTCTTCCACCTTTCACCACTTGGCCATCTAATGCAGCTCTGGCTTTTTCAGTTATGTGACGAGTTTCCTAATAAAAAACAATGAAACAGCTTAATATGTCTTCTTACATTGACCAAAATATTGTAGCTTAAGAAATTTCATTATATAATAATTAATATGTAGAGTTTATTTAGCGCCCATTCAAGTCCTCATACATGCTGTTTGTGCTGCAAGGACTAAACTCTCCACATCACACAAGGCACACACATGTCATGTATGCATGTGCAAGCACTGCATCATACACCCTAAGGCGTATGATAGTTTTTGAGTTTCGAACAGAGATTTTTAACCAGGCCATCGCATAACTGCACAAGACATGGCACTTCTACCGACCGAGCTACTTGCCGACTTAAACAACTTGTGACAATAGCTTTTTAAATCCAGAATAAAACCTTACTATATTATATTCCCATCACTAACCTAATAAACTATCTAGAATTTAATAAAATTTGAATTAATTCTTTATCAACTTTCATAAATACCAGTGTATCGGAACCAGAGGAAAAATATTCAACACAGATGTCAAAAAATTCTGACTCAGATTCTGGGTAAAAATTTTCAACTCTGACTTAGTTCCAACTCTAGAAAAATTTTTCAACTTTATCATAATTAATTTCACTATCTTATCACTACTAAATAAAAAATACTTTAAAAAACACAGCTTTTTCGGTTATGTGATAAAATTCCTAATGAAAAACTCAGACTCTCACTTAAGCCCTTCAAATTTAATACATACTAAAATCATAAATGAACAAAGCTGATGTTTCAACTTATACTACTATCAAGTTTCATAGAAATAAAAAGCATCCAACCTAAAACTTAAAACAAGTAAGGTGTTCACAACAATGAGCCTTTGGTCGCAGTGCTAGTAAGAGATGGTGTAATATGTATTATTACTGGTCTTCGTTCATACTTGTTTACAGTAGCTAATGGGCTAACAGCACTAGCAGGTTAACAAATTCTCACTCACATATAACACATTAATTTTTATATAAAATATTTTAAAATACAAATAAACATACCATTCTGATAAATCCAAAACCTCGGTTGGCATTGAGAAACAATTCAGATGTCTCACCATGAGCTTCAAACATCTTTTTAAATTCATCTTCGGTCATGTCATTAGGAACATTTCCCACGAAGATTCTACATCTACCAGTGAACTTTTTTTCTTGAGTTTTTGGCTTAGGAGCCGAAGAGTCGGCGTTGTTAGAGCCGGACTTTTTTGCTTCATCAACGTCGCCTTTTTGCTCAGACCGGTTGTGTGACTCTGCTCTTTCCCTCTTTACAAATCCTGAGGAGTGAGAATTAGATGAACTACCTCTGCTGTACGAACCATAACCACCACTTTTGTACTTATTAACGGAACTTTTTTCGTTATCAGCCGAACTCATTTTTTCAAGTTTACTCGCAAACCAAAATCAATCTCTCACCGACGCACTCTATACAAATTTATATACAGCGTTAAACGAACAAGATGGCCGAAGGCAAAACAAAGACAAATGTAAAACAGAGACATATACTCATTCGTACCATGGATATATATACAAAGACCTATTAATTAAATTAATTAATATTAATAATTAATAATTAATTAATTAATTAAATTATTAATAAATTAATAATTAACGTAATATGAGCATATAAATAGAATTAATCATTAATAACATTTTTTTTATTATTCTTTAAAAATCAGGATTTGACAGACGCAGAAACTGTTACAGCATGCAAGGCAATAGAATAAAATTAAACGAATAAGTAAATAAATAAACTGAGAAAGAAAAATGTTTTTAATAAGTTACAAATAAATTTTTTATAATGTTTTTACTAATTAAAATCTTAAATCTTTTAATAAATAATTTGATTATAGTTTCCACGGTTTTAAATAATCAAAAATAATCAAAAATTAAATATTGTTATACCACAAAATAAACGAATTGCGCTGTTATTTATTATCTTTGCAATCTTTGTAGTCTTTTGGTTGTTACATCGGCTATTAATACGTCCTACGTAGTAATGCTCCGCAGTCGGGGTTTACAAGGAGGTTTAAAAGTCAGGTTACAAGCAGAGAAAGCGAAGTCGTAAATGTGATTTAACTAGTCATTTGGATTTTTCTATTACTGTTGGTATTCAAAAATCGTTCAACAAAGCTTGTGTTTGAAGTAGTTGTGTTCATCATCGGAAATCTTGAACCTACGGAATGACGAACTCTTGACTGTCGTTGGAAGCTACAACACTGGTGTTGGAAATATAGAGACTGTTGAAGTTATATTATAACATCGGTGTTGATAGTTATGAAAGTCAAGCCTCAAGGATTTACAACATTAACATCAGAAGTAAAATTTTTCATAGATTGAAACTTTCTGCAAAAAAGAATGCGAATACTGGAAAAACTCAATGCAAATAATCTGAGGATGGAACTACAAAAATGAAACTTCGACTCTAAAGATGCGAAGGCAGTTTTAATAAAACGCCTAAAGAACGTTCTAATAAACGAAGGTAACGATCCTGAGAAGTTTGATTTTCCGGATCCTGAGGAAGAACTGATAGCCAATATGAAATGAATAACACGATCAACCTTTGAAAGCACCGTATCATATACGCTGAGTATATAATAGCCATTGAGATGCCTAACTCAGCGCTCATTTGAATCACAGAGCCATTTCGCTGGCCAAATATGCGATAACTTACGTCGTCTCCTAATTCACCGACCTTGGTCGGAAGGATGGACGGCTTGGTTGGCCGGGGGTCGGTTACCCGGATGAATCTGGAGGATTCAAACTTTGGTCTTGGGAATAGTAGACGGACACGCTAACCACTCGGCCACGAGACCCATTATTATACGTATGCATGAAATCAATCAACTAAAAAGTAATCAAAATGAATAAAATTTTTGATAAATTGATAAATATTTATTAATGAATTATAAAAAGTGTAAAAATTGTAAAATTTGATGAATTAGATTAATAATAATTATGAAAACCTATGTAATTATATATATATATATATATATATATATATGATGAAAACTAAAGAATGAGACTAGACTAAAAATGTGCACGGTGCGTTTGAGAGCCTGCATAAGTATGTTCTATAGTTCTCTCTATATATGATATTTTCCGTTTTTGTTTCGTTCATTATCGTTTCATTGAATTTGCATTTGACTGAATATTTGATTGCTAGTTGATCGATTTTTTAGACTGAATAAATTTTGTTTTTTTGGTACGTTATCTTATTATTATATCGTGATTATTATTATTGTTATTATTATCGTTAGTATAAGATGCTTGCTATTTAAATGTTTTAACTAGTTTTGTTCATTGAATTTCCTTTTATGCTTTTTTCTTTAACTTCTTTATTTTATTTTAAATTTCTGGAATCTTATTTCAGCTCGAGGCCGTGCGATTTACTCAGTTATTCAGAGTCACCAATAAGGCGGTCCTTGCGAACCGATTGGTTTTGATCTAATAAACGCGCTTGTTCCAGAAAGGGTCCAAGCTTTTTTGCATGTATTAGCTCTAGAATTGCCACAGTTAACCAAGTAGAAATGTACGATCTAAGAAATCATTGGTGGCCTAATGAGCCATTCGCAGCTTCACCGTGTTAAGTTCGGGCTTAGATATGCATGGCTTAATCTTTGAGACAAGCATATGACTACTGGCAGGATCAACCAGGTAGCTGACTGAGCGTTCCATCGCGCAGGCAAGTCTAGATGGACCAACGTCCATTTAACCTCCCCTGCAATCGCGCAGGCGAATCTAGATGGACCACCGTCCATCTAGCCTGGCCTGCATTGATTGATCGTTTCAGAATCGCTAGATAAATCAATTGATCGATTGATTGATTGGTTGGTTGGCTGGTTGGTTGATTGGTTGATTGATTTGATTGATTGATTGATTGATTGATTGATTGATTGATTGATTGATTGATTGATTGATTGATTGATTGATTGATTGATTGATTGATTGATTGATTGATTGATTGATTGATTGATTGATTGATAGGTTGGTTGGTTGGTTGATTGATTGTTTGATTGTTTGATTGATAGATTCGATGATTAATTCGATGATTGATTCGATGATTGATACGATGGTTGATTGATTAATTCGATGATTGATTGATTGATTCGATGACTGATTGATTGATTCAATGATTGATACGATGATTGATTGATTAATTCGATGATTGATTGATTGATTCAATGATTGATTGATTAATTCGATGATTGATTGAATCGAATAAGTACACATTCAAATGTATTTGTAAGAAAACAAAGAAACGAGGAGGAAGCTGCATACTTGATGTGTGAGACGATGAGTGATTCTGTGAAGTCTGATAAAAATTGGATGCCTTTTAGGCTATATAAGCGGAATGAAATGTTTGAAAACCTTTTGTTATGATGAAGTTTATATGAGATGCTATACTGAGTGTGTAGGTGAATGCAACGCCTCATGTTTTCAATTAATTCGTGCGAATGATAAATAGATGTTCTAGATGTAATATTATTTTCTTACGACTATTGTATATGTACAATGAATTCAAATTACATGTGTTTATTGAAATTAAGTGACAGATTGCATTATTTTGACTATGTAGTTAATGAGTCGAAGTCTAATTGGATGTATTAAATGATTGTAAGCAGTGTTGTTAAAATACTCACATGTTGAGTATTTAAATACATTGCAAATACATGGTCAAAATTTACAAAAAAATACAGTTTTTAAATCAATCAATTTTCGTTTTGCGTCCAGAGACCCGGTTTCCCGAGGTAGGACGTTGTTTCCTTTCCATCAACTTTTTGCGCCAAATTAGACGATCAGTTGTATCCATTTCATTTAAATTTAGAGCTTTCATGTCTTGCTCGATTGTTTGCGACCAGGACTTCTTTGGACGGCCTTTGGGACGTGTGCCAGTTACTTCAAAATCTGCAAGAGAAGTTATGGCACTGTTTCCACTTCGTTTGACATGACCAAACTACCGCAAACGGTGTTGCCGGCATTCGTTCTTTATATCATCTAAACCAGCACGACGCAAGATTTTGGTAGATTTGATGTGGTCCTTCAGACTAATTCGTTGCATCCATCGGAGCATTTTCATGTCAGTTCGTTGAAGTTGTTGTTCCAGTTTGGTTGTCATTGGCCATGTTTCTGCACCATATAACAAGACCGGACGTATCACAGATTTATAAAGTCTTGATCGTAGTGGTAGTGGGATGTCACCCCGCATCAATATAGAGGCAAGGAGATGCCATTTATTCCAGGCTGCACGTATGCGTGCTCGAACGGCAGCTTCAGCTGTTCCAGCACAATCCAGAACATCCCCTAGATATCGAAACGATGTGACTTTCTCTACCTTTTTGGCTTCAAAAACATTGCTATTTCGAATTTGTTGTTGTGGATTGATGCAAGCAGGACAAACAAAATTGGACACTTTATATAAAGTACCAATTATTTTTGAACAACGTTTGTGACACCACTGGTTACACTGCTGACACTTGATTCAATTGTTACCTACACCAGCTTTACAAACTGAACAGGGCCATCGTCCAGTAGCTGTGAATTGGATGGGTTCACCAGTGTTCATTGCTTTGGTTTTGCTGACAAGAGTCTTTGTATTCGTATACATTTCCATTACAAGTCGAACAAGATATTCTGGAATGAGTTGTCGACGTAGACTCCACCTGATTGCTTCACGGAGAACTCAATCAAATGCTTTTACAAGGTCTACAAAAATGTGTGATAGTTGTTGATGCTTTGCGAGGTACTTCTCTTGCAGTTGCCGAAGGATGTGAATTGCATCAATTGTTGATTTCCCCGCTATGAAACCAAATTGATAATTTCCGATTGTGATGCACGACGTTAATCTTCTTTCAATGATTTTTTCGACAATTTTCAGGGAGTGTTCTAACAGACGTATACCCCGATATGATGAACAATTCAATGGATCACCTTTGCCTTTGTATAGCGGGACTGTCATGCTATAGTTCCATTCAGTCGGCATTGAGCAATTTCTCCAGATTTCACGGCAAAGTTGTAGTAACGTTTGGATACCTGCAGTACCAGATGCTTTGATAATGTCATTTGTGAGTCCAGAGAGTCCTGCTGCCTTCCCATCCTTCATAGCTTTCAGAGCTTCTGTAAGCTCCTCTACAGTGATGTCTGGAATCGGACCTTCGATGGGGGGAGCGTCAAAGTTAACATTAAAGGGATTTGTTTCGTTTAACAGACGGTTGAAGTATTCTCTCCACTGTAGCTTGATCTTATCTTGTTCAAGAACCATCTCATTTTTGTCGTTTTTGATACATGAGACACCAACTATGTCTTTTTTTGTACGCTTTGCTTGTTTTGCTATTATTTTGCTTCGGTGTGGTTGCTTGACAGCGAAGAAATCAATTTGCGTGGCTGATGTTCCACTTTTGTATGTGTGAAGTTGTGACGATTGTGATGATAATGATTGCGCGATTGAAATATGCCGCCTGTATTGTGATGATAATGATTACGCGATTGAAATATGCCGCCTGTATATTTTGTGAAATAGTGACGATTGTGATGATAATGATGGCGTCTTTGAGGCGTGCCGCCTATATATATCTATATATTTTACTAGACATTCTATGCATGTATATTTTGTTATTTGATATGCCATATATGCGACGCTCCTGTGCTGTTTTGTATATAGGGAGTATAGCAATATATGGGACGCGTGCTACGCGCTGTTCTGAGTATAGGAAAAGAGTATTGATGCGAGTATAGAATTTTTTATGATATAGAAAGCGTTATGTAGATAGGGCGGTAAAAACATATAAAAGGCCGCGAGTTGAGATATAAAGGCGGGTCGTTTGTTATTTTATTTTAGGTTTTGTTTCTTGCTTGGTAGTTGTATTATTAATAGGTTAATTTTGGATTTATCGTTTTTTTTATAAAGACAGAGGTTTGATTTGTATTATTTTGTTTGTTATTTTATTTCTTTTATTGAATAAAAGAAGTGTACACTTGAAGTTTGGCTCGGCTTAATTATTCTACCTAAAATAATGGATGTTGAAGAAGACTTGCTGATAGTTGACGAGGTCGGCGTCTCTAGTCAACAAGCAGGGCGCGAACAAACTTCCGCC